CTACCCTGTTAGTCACTTTTTTCTGCAAAATTGATTTCTTCTGCCTAAGAGGAATACTTTTAACAATTTTATTGAATTGCATTTTTGTCACTTATCTTTCTGTGCCATTTGGAAACTGTTGCAATCTTTTATACTCTAAGCGTGTCCCTGGACATCTTTCTAACCATTTCTCATTCAATATAATCCATGGAGTGCCATCTTTCACATGATTAAATTGTTTAAAATGCTGAAAAAAGCTGCTAACCTGGCAGATTCCTGTGAAATAGCAGCATTTGCTATCCTGCTGGGTGGTCAAGTGCTCTTTAAGAGTGTTTTGTTTTGTTTTGTTTTTAGCTAGCTGCTTGCCTATCTCAGTGATTAACTGTTATATTTCTTCAAGTTGATCATAAGGATGTTGCCCCACATATTTGGGCTATCAAATATAGATATATATGTGTGTGTGTGTGTGTGTGTGTGTGTGTGTGTGTGTGTGTTTGGCACAAACTGTTGTTAATGGCTCATAAACAAGGCAAAGAAGGAATATAAAATTGTTTACTTTGTTCCAGGATTTCTCTCGGGATAAGAGTTGGATAACTGGATGAATAATTGCTTGGAGGCTTCCTTTCTGAAAACAAATATAATGTTTGTTCTTCAGTTTTTAGAGACTTCTCCTGTTTGCTGCAGGCATTGCCAGGATTTCAGGTGGCCTCAGTATTTAGGTCATTCTGCACTCAGGGACTAATATAGCCCTGCCCATCTGAAGACATCCACTTTATCTCAGTGTTCTCCAGCCTGTTCATCTGGATGTATGTTTATTTGCTTGTTAAAGTTAATGCACTTTGATTATAGATAACAGTTTTTGCGAGGACTAAAACAAAAGGAAAATCAAATGCACCAAGATTCACTGCAGCCAGCTCATTCTGATCCTTCTCGTTGGGCCATAAGCCTGTATTTCATCTTCCTTTAGCTTTTGGGGTATGCACAAGTTCTTTCCTTGTCTGCTTTGCCCTGTGTTAATCAGAATGCCTTTTAGCCCTGGGCTCTCATGCTGGCTGCTGCAGTACAGAGCGTGGTGAGGTGAAGGCTGGAGGGCAGAGGCAGGGAATGCTCAGAGGGAGCAAAGTGCATCAGATCTCCCTGAGATAGTGACCGCAAATTACAGCATACACAAAACAGGCTCTATTGCCAACTGCCTGCCAAGCCAGGCTTTTAGTTCTTGCTTTGCATCCTCGTTGCTCTACCAAATATGGTAGGAGGACAAGGTCTGGCAGCAGCACGCAGTGGCCCTGAGACTTAAACCAGGTCTCATACAGCTCTCCCCTGCTCCTGGTGCTCCCAAAGGTGTTTCAACATCTCTCCTGAATCACTCACTAGCTTATCTTCTTAACATGCCATGTATTTTTGCATGTTGGTCAATTGTAGATTTAAAAAAATATGTGGAAGTGGATGCAATGTGGATTTTTGCTCTGTTGTGTTCTAGAAGTAGAGCAAAAATGGGAAGCGTACTGTAAAAAAAAAAAAAAAAAAAAAAAAAAAAAAGCAGCCAGAGAGCTTAGGGCTCTGTTACTTTCTTATCAAGTAATTATGTAAATAACAGGAGATTTTTGACTTGCCAATGCCCAACTTTGTGATGCTGATCTTTAAATGTTCTTATTTATAGCTGCCATCTTTTATTTTATCTGTATGTTGGGATGTTGTATAGCATCTTCTTAATGCACATGGGCTTGATAGTTTTTTTGTTCCCTTTAAGCAAAGTCACCCCGAGTTGCTAACTTTTTACAATAAGTGTGTGACACATGCAGATTTATGGATGCCAATAATAGTGGAATTAGAGTGAATGTCACTCTCCCAGAGTGACTGAGGTATATCTTATGCAACCCAGAGCTGACTCAGCTGGTGTACAGCTTTTCTTCCTCTTGAGGAAATGTAACACCCTGTCAGGGGTTGGGAAATGTAATTTTCTTTATTTTTTTAAGCAACTAGGAAGAGGAAGTATCTGAGAGCTTTGTCCCTAGTGCAGAGCAGTCCTCTGAGCTATTTTCCCTCCCACAGCCCCAAGGGGACACAACGCCGTCTGGTTCAGAGCAGAAGCATCAAAAGTGTCCCCAGCCATGGCAGCTGAGAAGTGGCCAAGGAGCCAGCACAGGCTGTGCTCCATGTGTCCCACGGCAGAGCACCCAGCCAGGGCAGGGGTGCTGGAGGCAGCCGGTCTCTGCTTTTGATTCTTCTGAGCATCTCCTGCCAGCACCCAGAGTGCTCTGCCCTGGGGCATGGCTGTTCCCAGCCTTTGGATTTTTCCTCCTGAGCATCAGTGTACAAAGGAGAAACTTTGCTCATGCAATGGGCACTAAGTGTCTTCCTGAATCATCTGGACTAGGACCATGATTCTTTATATTTAATTAATAGACATGGTAAAGCAAGGGTGTTTTCTAATAGTTTTGTAAGTGTGCTGCTGCTTATACTGTCCTTATACTACCTTTATCTCCTGACTTGTTAATTGTTTTTCTGCTTTTCTTCCTCTCTAGGTGATTGTTTTGGTCTAATCCCGGCAGGCAGCTCAGTACCACACACGCAGTGCTCACTCACTTTCCATAGGTGGGATGGGGGAGAGAATTGGAAAGGTAAAAGTGTGAGAACTCATGCGTTGAGATAAAGGCAGATTGCTAGATAAAGCAAAAGCTGCATGTGCAAGCAAAGCAAAACAAGGAATTCATTTGCCACTTCCTGTCAGCAGGCAGGTGTTCAGCCACTTCCAGGAAAGCAGGGCTCATTGCATGGTTTGTTGGGAAGGCAAATGCCATTACTCCAGATGTTCCCCTCACCCTCCACCTCCCTCTGTTATTGCTGAGTGTTACTCCACATGGTGTGGGACATCCCTTTGGTCAGCCTGGGTCACCTGTCCTGGATGTGTCCCCTCACAGCTCCTGGTGCACCCTCAGCCTCCCTGCTGGCAGAGCAGCACAAGGAGCTGAAAAGTTCTTGGCTCTGTGTGAGCACTGCTCTGCAACAGCTAAGATATTGGTGTCCTATCACCATTCTTTTCATCTAAACACGGCATCATAAAAACTTCTACAAAGAAAGTTAACTCTATCCCAGCCAAAACTATGACAGTCAGATAAGCAAAATAAGCTTGCAAAAGCAGCATTTCCTTCAGCACACAGAGCTCATCGTACCAAGGATAGTCTTGTTAGCAGATTCTCATACAGAGGCTCCTGCCACCCTTATAAATGAGTTGTGTGCGGCCTCTACAGGAACTGGCACACAATTGATGTTTTTATGCTGCTTAACTGTTACGTGAAGCCTCTGAGTGAGTGATAGAGAAAGAATTAAGAAGGAAGGTTGCCGTTGTGTTTAAGCTACAACTATACACTTTTCAGAGTATGTTTTGACTCCTGAGTAGCATGAGTAAAAACTCCCACTTTGCAAAGAGAGGGGGGAAAAAGAAAAAAAAAAAAAGCCTCTGTTTTAAAGGCTAAATCCAAATAACATGGTGCTTCTGGAGATGCACTATGCTAAACTTCTCAGAAACCAAGCTGACTGGTCTGGTTAGGACTGATATAAAACAGATACAGATGGGTCACACCATGCAATTTTTTTCCCCTCCTTTGGATTCTTTGCCTTTTTGGTGTAATCAAGTCAGTTCTTGGCTCTCCCTTAACAATAAGGAAGGTAAAAGCTTTCTAGTGGAAGCTGTAGCCGTTTATCTCTGGGACACAGAGCTCTGGGAAAATGTCAAACACTGCAAGATTCATGTCAGGTTCTGGAGTTACTTTGCACCTCGTTTACAAATGTTCTGAGGCAATGCTCTTGCCAGCTGCAGCTTGAATATGTCTGTAGTTATTAATGCTGCAGGATAACTAGCTCCTAGTGAGAGCCTGGGCTCCTGTTACGTTTTCTTTTCTTAGCTTGAAGGGGGGTCAGGGAGAAAGGTGTCATGCTTTTCATGCCGAAGAGAGAGGCTGTGAGCACTGAACCAAATGAAGCCTTGATTCCTGCAGATTTGTGCCTTGTGCTTCTTGACAGCCACTTGGCAGGTAGTGGGGTACATGCTATCTCTCCTATCCTGGGATGCATTCGTGGGCTTCATCTATCTCCTGTCTTCACAAGCTTGTAGGAGTAAATCCATGGGTGGAGGAACCCTCCTGGTCCTTTAACGAAGTCGGGTGAAAGTGGACCAAAACCCAAAAGTGATGATGGAGAAGATGGAACCGTTCCACCCCCTCTGTACCTCTGAAAAGTCAGGATTTTCTCAAGAAATGGGAATGTAAAATTTGAGGGCAGTCCAACATTTCATTGCAAGATGACTAATGAGCAGAGAGCGGCACGGCCAGCTTAGGGGGACAGAGCTGGCATCACCCACAAGGAGTTTGTCCCTTTCGTGCCCAGTTCTGGGATGCTTCTGTGTGTGTGTTTGCTTGTCGAACCGATGTGCATCCCTGCTGCTGCAAACCCAGCAGCAGCAGCCCAGCACGGCTGCCGGCCGTGGCAGCGCGGCACTGCCCGCAGCCGGCGCTGGGGGGCAGGAGCCTCCCGCGAACGGGTCCCCAAGTGCTGCCCTGTCCCTTCCCAGCCTGTCGCCTCCAGCACGGGCTGTGCTGTGCTCCCGGCTCACCCGGTGCATGCCCAAGCCCCCCCCGTGCACGTCCACGAGCCCCAGTGCATGCCTAGCTGCCCCAAGCCCTGGCACCCCCCCCTTGCATGTTTATATCCCCCTAACATGCCCTGGCACCCCCCTGGTCTGCCGTGGCCCCCCCACACCCCAAACATGCCCTGGCAGCCCGCACACATCGCAGCTGGCCACGCTGCCAGGGCTGGGTGTGCGGGCGTGCTCAGGGGCATGCAGGTGTGCTCCAAGGTGTGCCCGTGTGCTCCAGGGCATGGACTAGGCTGGGGCTAGGTGAAGGTGAAATGGAGGGTGCACATCCCTCCTGCTGTTTGGGTAGACCAGGGACATGCCGCTGTGAGTAATTAACAGCTCTGATAACTTCCCAGAGTGCAGGGAACTTCTGCATGAGAATGCACCTGGTCTACACCTCGGGTGTGAGCTCATCCTGCTCCTTCCTCTTTTCTGCCCTTGTCCCAGCTTTGTGCAGCACCTGGTGAGACAGGAAATGGCTTTGGTGAAGGTGCAAAGCACGGGATAAGGGTGAGAGGGGGGCAGAGGGATGGATGGGGTGCTCACTGTGTGCAGCTGCTGGGAGCTGTTTACAAATCCACCTCGCAACTTTTTTTTTTTTTTTTTTTTTTTTTAGAAATTTGACTGCACTACCCAAGAGTTACCCAGTGTCGGCAGCAGGTCTCACATTTCCTTTTGCAGAGAGGGTTCCTGCAGCCGCCTTCCACCCTTATGCCCTGGCACCAGCCAGTCTCTGATACTTTAACAAAACCCATTTTCCTTGCTTTAAGTGAATCCATGCTTTCTAACAAGTGGGACTAAGCAACCTGTGACCTTTGGCCAGTCACTCTGGGAGGCTGTGGTTTGGTGATGTGCTGCATCCTGTTTCAGGGGTTCCAGTACCAGAATATGGGTGCTGCGGTCGCACACCACTCAGCACCGACCCAGCCTCCCCGCCACTGCACCTCTCTCTGCCCTCAGCGGGTGTCCTAACACCACAGGTGTCCCAGGGGACTGAGCTCAAACATGATTTCCTTCTCCCCAGCAATTGGTGCAGTTGTACAAACTGCCCCTGTTCTGGCCTTAATGGGAAAGCACCTGCGGTTGCTCAGCTAGAAAAGCCCAAATTAGTAAAGTACACTTGGGAAATACCTTAAGGGCAAAAGGCAGAATGGGGTGCCCAGGCCCTGTTCGAAAGCCTGAGATGACAGAGAACAGTGATATTTTATTAATAAGCCACTAATGACAGTCTCTTTGGCGTTTCCTTAAAATTTAATATGTTGGCTTTGCCTTGCCTTCTGCTCATGGAGCACTCTGATGTCAGCAGCCAGAAATCCTGCTAAACCGGCCGAACCTGCAAATGAATGAAAGTCAGTGTAATCTGCTGTCTTATCTCTCCTCCACCCCCAAATCTCATCCACTTCAGGCATCAGAGTACAGCTAATTGACTATTGAGCTTCCTTTTCGTGCTCAGACACCTCAGGTGACTTGGCTATTTTCTCTCAATTTTGTTTCCTAAACAAATCAGCTTCAAAGGCGGTGCTGTGCAGGTGTCAGTGCTATGTGATAAATATCTCTGAAATAACTGGGGGAGAGGTCTGGCTTCACCAGGTGCTCACTGCCTCTTTGAGAAGCCTGTTTGTAGTTTTGCTGCCTCTCCCAGCTAACCACAGTGAGGATTGACACCTGGCAGGATTTTGGTTGCTGCTTGCCTTCCTCTCCTGCCTTTATTCCCCAAAGCAGAGGCAGGTAGGGGACTTTTGAATGGAATAGGCTGGTGTGGAGTGTCCTGGAAAATAGGACCTTTGCAGGGACACAGAACCATTCCTCAGAGCAGCTTTTTTAATGGGCAGCTACCCATGGGAATGGTCCACTGGTTGGGAGCTGGTACAGAGATGGGTGGGTTCCTGTTTTTCGCTGCCTGACTCTAACCCTCGTCCTCCTCCACCCTGTAGAGCACAGGGCCAGACATGCTGTGTTTTCCTTTCCCAGGCTGGAGGTACAGCAGAAATTTGGAGGGAGGTAGGGGATGCTGAGCTCTTGCCCTGGCATCAACCATGAAAGAGGGGCAAGAGGGGTGCAGGCAGGGGGACCACCAGGACCAAGCATGAGGATTTCTGGCATCCCAGTGAGCAGATCTCTTTCTGATGTCACCTGCTGCTGCTAGCCACGTCTCATCTCTCTCTGTACCCCTCCACTGCAGAGGTTTTCACCAACTTGGCCCATCCCTGCAAGTTCTTGTTTCGGGGCATCCCTGCAAGTTCATGTTTCCATCCCATGCAAAGCACTATAAATTAAGAAATGGGCTCATTAAGACAGCATGGTCTTCCCTCCCATGCTGTCACACCACCAGCATGCCATTCAAAACCTGCTAGTTAGGTTGGTGTTTTCCAAGGGATAAGCCAGCCAGCAGCCGCAATGCGCCCATCAGAGCAGCCATAAACCACTGAACTACAGCATGGGAAGATGTGTCAGAGAAGACATCTAGGCAGATAAGGTGGCCAGGTTGGACCTACCTAATCCATGGGAGCATTAGACTAAGTGTCTCACTGCAGGGCCTGTCTCTCAGGACTCAGTGCTGCCACCAGGCAGCTCTCAGGCTGCAGGAGGGCTGTGGCAAGCAGCTGAAGCATAAACTTCTGAGCAAGGACACCATGTTGGGCCAGGCTGGGTACGTGACTTATGCTTTCTGACCTTACAATTGCGGATCAGTGACCCATCTGCCCCTGGGGAGCTGGCAGGGGAGGAGAGAGCCTTGTAGGGTTTCCCTTCCGTGGCAGCAGGATGTGGGGCAGAAAGGCCATTTGAGGGCGTCTGCTCACCTTGCCTACCAGTACCTGTACCAGTCCTTCGTTCCCAGGCAGCCCAAGTCATGGAAGCGTCAGCATGAGCATAAAACAGCAGTGACAGACCTGAGATGCTGCTCACTGGATGCTGCCATCTGGGCTAGTACCTCCTGCCACCATAACAATTTTCTTGTTATTTATCCTGTCTCCAAAACTTGCTTTGTTTGTTTGTTTGTTTGTTTTGTTGTACATGCATATAGGGCCTTGGCCCTACTGTTCATTGTTTTGGCTTGTGCAAACCCTTTCAGTAGGCTGGCTTGTTCCTCTTATCTGTGAGTTGATGTTTAACCAAGTTAAGCGTATTTTGCTATAATCTTTCTGTGTTAGCACTGTTGCCCTTGAGCCTTCCCTATTCTCCTCCCTCGAATTTTTCAGTCTGTCAGCATCTTCCTTGGCTTGCCATGCCATTAACACACGCTTTTCAAGGTGATGCTGTGCTTCGTGTTCATCCTGTCTGGCTTGCACAAACTTCCAGATTGTTGCTGGGCCTTCTGCTCACTCTGTGGTATGAACAGAAAGTGAAAATCTCTGCGAGAGAAGGCTCCTATGCAGTTCTGTACATTTCCTATGTGATCATAAGTTGCCATTGAAACCACAGAATGACATAGTTTTCCTTTCCTTTGAGTTCAGAGAATAGAGAACAGATGCAGGAGAGGGTGAATGGAAAAAGAAGAGATGCCACGTTATGCTGTATGAGAGCAGTCAAACTGACGCAACACAAAGCTGTAGCACATCATATTTTATTTTCTTATTTTAAATTAAAAAAAAAAAAAAAAAAACAACAACAAAAAACAAACAAACAAACAAAAAAGCAACCCACAGTTCTGCAAGAGGACATGGCTCTTAACCGTGTTTGTTTCCTCCCTGGGATTACAAAATCTGCTTCCAGGCCCCTCCACAACAGTCACAGCTACAAAGGTAAAGCTGTGCTCTGGTGGGCCATGCTCACAGCAAGAGAGCTGCCAGGGATTTGGCTCTATCTTGCAAAGGGAAGGTGAGCACACCTTTTCACTGTGTTGCTGTACATTTTTTCCTGCATGCAATAAATACGATTTTGGTACATAAAATCAGTAAGTGAAATAAGGTTAGTCACAGGACTTCCTGACAAAGCAGCTCATAAACAAGCTTTCCTCACTTCCCTCTTATGAAAGTTCAGCTCTCCTCTGCTGCACTGACTCCTTTGTTTCTCTCTTCTCCCACTTATCCCCTGACTCCCATTAGTATCTGAGTCAGTCTAGTAAACATTTCGCCCTGTGGCAGCCTCTCCAAACATAGCAGGAAGATCAGGCTCTGGAGTGCACTCTTGACACGTCTCCTGGGGATCCTTTCGTACTCTCTGGTAGGTTATTCTGCTGTTGTTCCTCATTCACACATTGAGAAAGAGAGAACCAATGCCCCATGTATTCAGCAGCTTGTTAGCAGTGAATGGTAATAGGGTCTGCAAGGCTTCCTCTTCCCTTTCTCACTCATATCCTCCATGTACTTTAACCTTTGTAGTGGCAGTTTCCTGGACTGAATGTGCTGTTCAACATCTGCTTGTAGAAGAAGGTACTTATCTAAGTCTCACTATATTTACATTTTATTTAAAAGTGTGCCCCCTTTCATGGATGCAACGCTGGTCAAACACTAGCACACACAGAGGATACATCAACCACCATGGCCTTTATGGATGCAGTCTTCTACCACATAAGTCACACTGCCATTCTCATGCCATTTACAGTCTTACCAGTAGCCTTGCTGGCCTTGATCCACGTATTTACGTCTGACTTCCTCGTCAGCACAAGGGATAAATGTACGTAGCAGTTGGACCAGATAGAGGAGAGCTTCCAAAGCAGCCGGGAAAGAAGTGTACTTATGAGTCATCTGCTCTTGGTTGCTCCTAGTTGGCAGAAAAATAACTCCCTACGAACAGGGCTGTACTGGAAGTTTCCTTTCCTCGCAGCAGTCAGTCTACCTTTGAACCCACAAAGACCATATGACAATGTTGGTGCCTTGGCTTCATCCATTCACACATAGAGACCCTTGCATGGGGTTGTTTTACCTACAAGACTACCTGTAAAAGTCTGATTGCAGAACTGAGAGTTCTTAACACCATTGTCAGTCCGTTTTCACCCTCAACCAGTTGCTGCTGTACGGGCAGCTGGGCTGGTTTGCAGCATTGCTTGAGGCTTCACTTCCTGGAAACAAGAATTGTGAAGGCAGGAAAGTTTCCAGCTCACCCTACTTACATATTCAAATTGAGATGAAAAGCTAGCAGGAATTTCTGGTAGCCATGTTTCCTTTTTAGTTCTGTTATCTTTTCACTCTCTTTTGCTGTAAAACTAGCAAAACCCTGAACTGTCCTCACCCTTTCAGCTTCGTAGTGCCCTCTTCCCCCTCCTCCCCCCCCCCCCCCCCTTTCTGGCCTTGCTGAAGTCTTGAGCATCTCCTGATTTTCCCTACACGGGAGCCACCATCTGTGGTGTCTAACAACATGCCCAGAGCCGGGCACTTGCTGTTCTCATCAAGTGACAGCCCAACTGGGACACAGATGTTGAGCTTCGTTTCCCACAATCCAGTGGCTTTTGGACATTTTTCCAAGAGATTTGTTCCACTCTCTCCTCTTGCTCAAGTCCCCTTTTAAGAACCAACTCAACTTAGCATGTCTTTTATGCAAACAGCAATTTCCTTTTGAAGCTCTCAGTGAAGGCCATGTTTGTCACTTCAGTGCTCTGTGAGGAATTTGGCTAAATCAGACCAGAGACAAAAATCTCTCTGTTCCCTCTCCCAGGAAGGTATCGGGTTCCTTTGCTTCATGTGCATTTCTGCTCTGGGAAGGAGCTCAGTAACAGGGGTATTATCAGGTTGTTTCTTCAGATTGATTCCTGGCTCAAACACATGCAATTCACTTATTGTTGCCAGCATTACTAAGTTCCATCTAGAGGCTCAGGTGGGTCTCCATGAGCCAGGATGTGGTCTTACCCCTACTAGGCCATCATCATTAATAATAAAAGGTACTGAAGACAAATACAGCACTTGGGTCCACTGGCTGTGACAGTAATAGAGTCCCAACTGTTCAAGCTCACTGTGCCACTTGGGCTCAGCTTGCTGTTGTGTCACAGCCCTGCCTCTGCAAGGGTACAGGAATTCAAAGACAGCAACGAGGAGAATAGGGGTTTTGCATTTAATGTCCTGCTTTGGCCTTGCAGAAGCTGTAGGCAGAGACAAAAGCAATGGGTCTCTCCCACCCTGACTGCTCCCTGGGGAACTGCACGGTGCTGTTAACTGAGAGTCACCAAATGCTTGTTGTGTGGGCTCCAGTGCTCTTCCACAGCCGCATCCCACTGCTTTTTTCCTCTTGCTACTTTGGGGCAGTGGAGAAGAAACTGGTCACAGATCAGGGTAATGAGCACATGCCCCAGCCCTGTCGAAGAAATCATGTTGCCGCAGTCTCTTCCTATCTGCCAGCGTCGCTGCAGGGGTGG